GTAGAAAGGTAAAGTGTGATAGCCTCTGTTTGCTTAATCAAGGTATCTGCTGATAGATGGGAATGAGAAGAGGGACTATCGATCTTGGAAATGAGGTAGAAGTTTTAAAAGAGCTGTTAAGAGAAATAAGAATGGGAGCTGAGAAATGCCAAGTGAAAATAATTATTCAGTAGCTTTAAAGATTTCACAGAGATTTAAGAATGTGTTTATAATGAAAGTAATTAGTTTTATAATTTTCTTGAACATCTGAGGGAACATAACATAAACCAAAGAAAGGAATGCTAACTATGAGAGTGGTGAGGAAATTGAGCTATTTGCATTTGTGGGTTGAAGAGAGTGAGTTTGCTAGGTAGAAAGAAAGAACAGCTAGGACAGTGCAAAAGATGAGAGGGACCAAGGAGAACAAAACTGGTCAGGATGACATATAGAGGATAGAGAATATTGAGGTGGAGGGAATATAAAGCTTTCAAGACTGGAGCGGCGCAGCAGTCCAGGTAATGATGACAAGGTCAGTGTGAGCATAGACAGAGATAAGAGACTGTAGGAACGCTCATTTAGCAGGCATTTGGAGGGGAGAACAAGTGAATTCTGGGGTATGTGAATTCATGAAAGTTTTTATTGAATAATGACATTTGAATGGGTCTTCCTTTAACAATGATGCAGATTTTTGAGATAATACACATTAGCTCACTTGACCAAATGATCTTGACACTTAGATTGTACTAAATGAATGCTGTTTTTAATAAGTTCAAGTGATCAATTATAATAATTTCACTTATGCAATAAAATAGTTTAGATACTCATACCAGTAGCAGCCTACTAGTGTTATCTTTTGGCCTATTACTAGTATCATGGCTCTTTCCATCTTGCTGCACATCTGGAATCCATGAAGCTGGCAATGTGACTGTTCAATATTTAGTTGTGGAAAGCTTGAAAATTAAAATCTAAAAAGTATGTTTCCCAAAAAAGTATTATTTCTGTTATCTGTTGAACTTTCCATAGACACTGTAGGGAATACATTTACATGGGATTATCTAGTTTAAGATAACAAGGTAGAAACCACTGTACCCATGAGTTTGAAGAGATTATGCATAAAGAGCATTGGTTACTTAAGATCACAGCTAATAAGTGAGGCTCCAGGATTTGAACCTACGGACTTCTTCAGCTGAAATGTATTTATACTTAACTGGGAAGAAAGTTTCTTGTTGCAAGATAAGATGTTTTAACCAAAGTTACTACCTGATGGTCCATATTCATTTTGTTTCTTTCCCAGTACAAAGTTAGGAGTGAAATGAATGTACTCTGCTTTTTCTCCACAGTCTGTGAACTGCTTGGTATACAGTTCATCTAGGCCTGGGAGGGTCGGTGGTGCAACAATAACATCAGCCTGAGGATGTTGAAAAAGATTGTGAAAACATCAAAAATTGAAATGATAGCTCTTAGTCTGAAAAACTGTGAGATAACAAACTAAGGTTAACAGTAGAAAGTGTAGAAAACATTTTAAAGAGAAGCCATTGACACTTACGTGTTTGTAGTTCTCATGTTTTGGCTTCTTGTAATGGGGATTTTCCTTCCAGGTTTTAGGAATTAATATAGACACAGTTTTGAAAAAAAATCTTTTTTCTGTGGCTTCAAACAGGTAAGTAGATGCTGCGGTCACCATGTCCTATTATCAAAAGGTGAAAGTATGTGAAGACAACCAAGTGAGGAGTAGCCTCAGATGCTTTCCACCTTCAGAAATTAATACCATAGCAAATGACTGATGAGCAGG